ACAGGACCAGAATTACAGTCTTGGTGTTTTAATTAGAGGTGGCCCAAAGCCCTGGCTCTGTAAAAAAGCTGAGGTCTGAATTTACATGAAGATCTCAGTAGAACTTCCAAAGTCACATTTGCGCTACATTTTGTGCCTATATCTGTAACTTGTACCTCAGACAGATACAACCCGGTGTAATTTATTTTAATCAATAGTGCTCTGCAGATTGCTGTGCCTGACTCCCTTAGAAGTTACGGAGCATTGACAAGGGGGTCCCTTGAGTTAACCCCTGGATTTTCAGAACTGTCTGTTGTTGTGTATACGACACCTGTTTTGCTACTCCTCTGTGAACCCTTAGTGCTTGCTTTCAGTTGTATGAGGTATAAAAGGAATTGTGAGTGTCACATGCATAGTGTAAACCCAAAACTTTTTATTTTTGTAGCATGAGGACTTTTAGAGATGTGTTTGTTTTCTCAAGAATGTGTTTCTCAAGAACAAATGGGATTGTTTATGAATTTGAGTCCAGACATTGACAGAGTAAGAAGCCTGCTCTGCTACATCTCAGAGAAGTTGTGGATGCCGCATCCCTGGAAGTGTTCAAGGTCAGGCTGGACAGGGCTTTAAGCAACCTGATCTAGCGAAAGATGTCACTGCCCATGGCAGGGGGTCTAGATGATCTTTAAAAGGTCTGTTGTGGTTTAGCCCCAGCTGGCAGCTAAGCACCAGGCAGCCGCTCGCTCACGCACACACACGCACACCCTCCCGTGGGATGGGGAGGAAAACGGGGAAAAGTAAAAACTCATGGGTTGAGATGAAGACAGTTTAATAGGAAAGCAAAGGAGGAGACAATAATAATAATAATTAATAATAATAATAATAGCAATAATAATATGTACAAAACAAGTGATGCACAAATGCAGTTGCTCGCCACCTGATGAAAGCCACATCACCACCCGTCCCCGAGCAGCAGTTGCTGCCCCCCGGCCAACTCCCCCCAGCTTATATAGTGAGCATGATGCCATATGGAACAGAATACCCCTGTGGCCACTTTGGGTCAGCTGTCCCGGCTGTGTCCCCTCGCAGCTTCCCAGGCACCTGGCAGGCCAGGCCAGCCCAAGAAGCTGAAAACTCCTTGACTGCCTAGCAACAACTGAAAACGTCAGTATGTCATCAACTTCGTTTTCAACCCAAATCCAAAACACAGTGCTACACCAGCTACCAGAAAGAAAATTAACTCTACCCCAGCCGAAACCAGGACAAGATCCCTTCCAACCCAAACCATTCTGTGACTGTGTGAGTCTATAAGTATCTTGTGGGTAAGTCCCCGTCATGTACTATTCCTGAACTGTGGCTGGATATCATCTGAAATATCAGCAGTGGCTAGAAAGGAGCAGTGACTCCCCACTAGGGAAATTACTGGCAATTAAATAGGCTGTACTGTGGCATGCCAGTGTCTCAAGCCCATGGCATGGTCTTGTTTTATTTCTCCAGAAAATTTTAATTGTCTTCATAAAGTGCCAGCTCTTACAGTACTTTAATAGGACATACCAGCAAAGCCCGGAATGGACTTTCTCACCAAAATTACAGGAAGAGGGATCTGGCCCAGCATCAGGTCAGTCACACCAGGTTTGAGGAGGGGATCCAGTTTCAGTACTCCTCCCTTGTGAATAGTTTACTTCTTCATACAAAGCCAAGCAGCGTGACCCAGGGAGCTCAAGGGTACGTGGAGAAGGGGGAACTTGAAAGGGAAAACCTGAGTCTGAGTTTAGCCATATGAGAGATGCATACCATAAACAGTAGCCCTATTAGTTAACTAGAGACAGGTGGACGTCTTGGTTTTAACCAGACAGGATTTTACTTTATTGTGGTATCAAATGGAAAAAAAAATCTTGAAATCCTGTAAAGTTTCACAAAGTGGGAAAACTGTTTCCCATTCAGATTTACCCTTGGCTCCTACGGTAGCACCCCTGAGGGCATTTTTTCATTTGTCCTTCTGGAACACCTCTCAGCTTGATGTTTCCGCTACTCCATTTCTGGCTGTGTGCATGTACAGCACGCCATGTACAGAATGGTGTGTGACACACATTAATACATATAGATAGCCTTCTGCTTCTGACCTTACAAACTGTCCACTTCAGCACTGTCATTCTATAAAATGTCCAACTGCAGTCCAAGAAATGCATTTTAAATGTGAATGCAAACATTTCTATTACTGATAACACCAGCGCAGCACTTTTTCCTTCTCTGGGATTAGGACCTTGATAGTTAAAGTTACATTGGAGTAATGACGCTCCAAGGTCGCGTCCTTTACTGATATGGCAAGGGAAGGAGAGGCCTTTGCTGTATTTCTGCTGACAAAATATGGAAGGATTATTGCTTCTGTTTGGTGACATATGGTAAAAGTGAAAGAATATAGTTGTGACCCATAAATACTTTAGGTTGCCAAAAACTGGGAGAAATACACATGCCGTATCCCAGCCAAACCCAGGACATCAGTGAACAGCCATCTTCTCACATGAACTGTAAAGCAGCTGCAGTTCAGCTAGGGACACCTTAAAAAAATATAAAAGTACTGTGGTCTGCAGAGAGAAACTCACAGGCAATTCCAGCTTAGAAGGCTAACGCTCCAAATCACAACCTCTGTCTGAATATGCTCCATCATGCTTCACCTTCATGCTCTGTAAAATGGGGGTAGTAATCTTTATTGATCTGTCCACCTTTTAGGAATGCATTAAGGAGAACTTAAATGATATCTTTACAGTGTTTTGAACAGTTTTGATATATGCAGCTCTTACAATACAGCTTCAGAGGTGGGCTTGCCGTTTTACCAGGTCCTCCCACAGGAGAGCTGTCCTGCTTTTCTTTACGGCTCTCTGGTCTTCCCATCCAGATTTCTGCTCACTGGGCAAGTCTGGCAAGTTGATCATGACTCAGCAGTTCCCACTCGTTAGCTGAGCTGCCAGAGCTAACCAAGTGCACTCTTTTCACTCAAGGAGTCGGTTTAAGTTGTCGCAGTGTATTTCACAGTTGAGCCTACCTTGAGGCACACCATTGGGCTGTGACTGCTGAAGGTCACTCGTTAGGATGCTGTCACTTGATTATGTCTTATCTTAGCATAATAATGGAAGGAAGAGAGCAATCCTCTGATGAGAGCCACCTGCCCCTCCAGCTATGTCTAAGTTAGTTGGATATCAGTGCATGATGCTTGAGAATGGATTTTATGGAGTTGTTGCGTATCACCTCTGATGATTTAAATATGCAGAGGTCTTCACAGATCATGGCTATTCAGCGCAACACGGTTCGTACATATATCCTTCGTATATCTTTAGTAAGAGATTCAGAGTTGTTCCTCAGGTTTTGCGCTTTCAGACAGTAACTTAGTGGTCTGCCCACAAAGCCACTGATGTCTTCACTAAACAGTTATTTTAGAGATAATTTTACACTGTACTGTACAGTTCCCATGTATATAATATAAATTAATTGTTGAAATCAATATGAATTTTAAACGTTTTTTTTGGAGGGAGTTTGCCCTCAAGTTTCATTAGAAGCAGCCTGTGTTCATGAGGAGACTAGTCCTATGACTAGTGTTGTCTATCTTTCTCTCCCTCTTTCCATCCATCCAGCTCTCCATACCTGCCTAATGGATATGAAACAGCTGACCAATTTCAACAAAATTTATCAGAAATAAAGAGATTTAAAAAGATTATTAAGCTCCTAAATGGAATGAGAATCAGCAGATAGACCGAGGAAGCCTACCCTGTTACTTTTCCCACTGAGGAAAAGAAGGTGAACTCAGCTATAGTCCACCCTATTTGTCAGCAGCAAAGCAGGTTTACACTAGTCGATGTATGTGATTAGGGACACAGGGCAACTGGAATCAGACTAGTGGGGGACCAAAGGGTCATGCAGTCTGGTGCATGCTGGGGATAAAGAGGAGGAAGTAATGCTTCTGGAGAGGGAAGACTGGAAGCGTTGCAATGGGATAGATGTCTGCTGGGAGGCTATGGATAAAGTCTGAGGAGACTGGTGAAGGAAATAGAGATGTGTTTTGCTTTTTTTTTTTTACTTTTCCTGTCGACTCTGTCCTGTGACTCTAGCTTGATTTGTTGTTGTTTAGGGGAGGAAAAAAAAAAAAAAAGCTTGGTTTTATTCACAAGTTTAATCAGAAGTTTGTTTCAGCTGCTCTAATACTGGTAAAAAGCGTCTTCCAACAGTGTAACTTTCTTCAAGCTAGCAGCTTAGTGACTGACAAGCTTTCTTAGAGTATCTGTTTGACACCTCATCCCAATATTAGTTCTACATGCATGTTCAAATATTAGGAAATCACTGTATTCTCAAGTCTAAGATGTCACAAGTGTCTCTTTCTGCAAGTACTTGCCCCAGAAATGTTAGCTAAAATGTTTTATCTAACAGCAGCCCTCTTGTTGTGTCGTACTACTTAGTTGTCATCCAAAAGCAGCTGCATTTTTATCAACATATCTTAATAAGCCATATCCTGAAAGGCACCAGCATCTCTTTGTTCCTCCTTGAGATCATATGGGAGTTAAAGAGTACTGGTCGTCTAGAGTACTAGGTATCAGTAAATCAAAGAAAATTACATAAGCACATCAGTTCACAGCTAATAACGTCGTACAGATGAGTTGTAGAAAGCAAGACAAACAGGACTGATATTTGCATCTATTTCACACCGTGTTCAAACAAGAGGTGGGAGCAAAGCACCTTCCAGGGGCCAGAGCGTGGCCCAGCATTTGTTTCATACACTCTCAGCCACAGCAGATTCGTCGGGGCTGATACTGGATGGTGGTAAAACGTACAGGTGATATGCGATGTGACAAATGAGTTTGGAAGTCCTCATCACCTCAGTCAAGGAATGGTTGTTTCCCACCCTCAGCCCGCCATATCTGTCTCTCTGTGCTTATTCCACCTAAGTTTGATTTAACATGCATGAAACAAGTAATTATCTGTGGCAGGTATGTGTGGTATGTGTACATTTTCCCTTTCTGTGTTGTTTTTTCCAGATTATTGGAACAATCCCACTGATGCCTAATCCCGTCCCCTCCAGCCAGGCGGCAGGTGGAGCTCAGGGACTTCAGGTGCAGCCGATAACTCCACAGTTACTGACCAATGCCCAGGGTCAGATCATTGCTACCGTCATCGGCAACCAGATACTCCCAGTGATCAATACCCAGGGAATAACACTATCGCCGCTTAAACCAGGCCAGCAGGTAAAGCATCTGTAGCCTGAATGATTATCAAAACAGATGTGCACAAATCTTCTACTCCTCACGCGCTCCCTTGTGGCCTTCCTAAAAACGCCCACTTGTTTCCCATTTTTACTAACCAAAGATGAATTCCATCATGCATAGTATATTAGTGCTTACTATGTATGTAGTTATATATATAATTATATAT